CTGAGCTAGCAAGTGAAGAAAGACATAATGAATTTGGCTTCTCATTGGTGTTTTTCCCATTTTGTGAATTTTTCCATTAAAAAAAAAAACAAAGAAAGAGCATATTCTTCAGGAAAAGAATAAGTAACATATAATGGTTTTTCAGAATTACGTAGTTCTTTAAAAAAATCAGATATACACACACACATATATACTTTACTTTCAGGAAATATTTGTAAAGTTGGGATTAAAGTTTCATCAGAAAGGGAGGTAAATACAGTAGATTTTATTAAAGCTCTTAATTTTCGCTCAGTTCTTTCCTTAAGAAGATTATACCTCCCTGGCACATTGACTTTTGACTTCTCCATATGATATTTTTAGCCAATGGAATGAACCACTATATATGCTATATTTTGGCCAAAGTTTTAGATACTGTTATGTTTTTGTCAGAGTCTGTTACATGTCTGCTCTCTGCCAATAAACCAACATGATCCAAATAGGAATTTCTCTTTAACTTTTGACCTCAGAATGTGCAGACAAGATCTGCAATCGGGTCCCCTGCCTGAGTAAGACCACAGCCAGTTGGCAACTGTCATGTGGTGTGGAATTGAGTAACTGTGGTTATAAGTCAGAGTTTGAATCGATTTTATAGCAAAAGCTAACACAGGCATAAAAATTGTGCCTCTATAACAAAAGCACCAAATGATTAAGATTAATATTTTGTGTTACCATGGCAATAAACAAAAACATCTGGGTAGGTTTTCTTCACATTTAGAGGGATATTTAGGGCAACAGACCTAAAATATAGGCTACACGACTTGAAGATATAAAAAAGGCTGAACCTGAGATCTGAGAAGCCTAAATGATTGCTAAGTAGGAGAGACAGCTTTGTAGATAAAAATGCCTTTCACAGAGAATACACATAGTGCTTTCCAATAAGAACCCCAAATTGAAGGGTAGATGTTCCCAATAGAAGCTGTAGATTTTTTAATCAACCTGCAGCTTGAGTGGGAACCTCCATGAAGCATATTCAGAATGGGTAACAGACTCAGAATAATCAGAAAGACTGGTTAATACTAAACTAAAAGAGAATAGAAATGCCATACTGAATTTTAATGTAGCATCACTCCATGACAGACCTTTTTTTAAAAAAAAATCACATATCAAGTGATGCTTATGCTTCTATAGTATTTTATTCAATAGAGGTCACGTTTATCTTCAGGATCATTCTGAAATTATCAAGGACTTGAAAGGTTAACAGAGAGATGGGGAAGTGTTTATCTTTATGAGAAAACAACTTTTGCTCTTAACCGGATCTAGGGGAAAAATAACATCCAATCAAAAGAGGAAAAGAGGGTAAAATGGTCCTACGTCCCATTTTTCTCCTTGTTTGGAGTTCTTGTAGCTTATGCAAAGTATTCTAGACCATGGTGCAATGAATTCAGGATCCTGTGATCAATTTAATCTTGATTTTCAGGGAGCATTGAAACTCTCAAGCCATCTGATTTGCTTCTGCTAATTCAGTGATTGATTAACTAAGAGGTGGCTCCTGATTTCTGAAAATCCCTTAATAGACATTAAAGGAGGAAGGGGAGTAAAAGACAATCTTTTCTGAGTAGGAAAAAAAGCTTCATTATTAGAATCTTTGCATTCTGAAGTACAATTTCATAGTTACCTTGGTAATAGACCTAAAATTCAATCAAGTAACAGATTTTAGAGATCCTCTTTATTACCCAAGGTCACAGCAATGACGCATCTGAAAATTCTAAGCACCCATTGCTTACAAAAATTATACCTATGCTGTTTCACAGAGATTTTTTTTTCAATTTTAAATAAAATGTTTTGCCACAGCCTGATATTTCTTCTTTAGGGTTTACCTAAAGTGTTTTTCAAGTACTAGGTGATCTCTTACCTCTTAAACTCTTTTTCCAAAGTCACCTTTCAGTCTTTGCAGAACAGTATAGAATTGTACTGTAGAAAGCAGTCTTTCTAGAGAAGAGCAATAGAACTCCCAGAGCTGAGGGTTCTCCCTGTTAGGCTCTTACACCTCACACAGCCCAACTATTGTTCTGCTTTGTGTCCCTTCACTGAGGTAGTTTGGGACCAGTAGATCTCACTACTGACCCCTTGTGGCAGCAAGGGGAAGAACATTTTCAGCAGGAATGCTTGAGCTTTCAGGGATCAGCATTTCTGGCTCCACAGCTGTTAATGACACTGACTTCTAGTGGTTTAGCACATATGAATCATGTCATAGTTTCAAAATACTTTTCTACAAATAGCAACTTCTTAGCATGAATCAGGCTGGCTTTATTATTTCTTCCTCCCCCAGTTTCAGTGTTCACACAGATTTGATGCACGCAATGCTGCCCAGATGTTTAGCATCTAAACTCCTAAAGTGTACATGATACAAGTCAGAAGTTTTAAGAGTGAGAAAATTCTCAGCTCTGGGATTCCTGGTTGCTATGGACAAGGTTGAGAGGGTAGCAGAGGGGCTTGGGAAAGGATAGAAGGACAGTCTGTATTTGTTGATGGTAACCCCAGAGTTTATAGGTATTTTAGCTCAAGTCTAATCTCCTAGAACCTGGAAGGTCCTGCTTTCACCTGGAAATCTGTGGTGTAGGATGAGGTGAGGTGGACAATGGGCCTGCTGGCAGGGTCCAGTTCACCCCTGACTGATTCAACCTCAAGCAGTGAAAAACAGTTCTCAGGGGAAATCCATAGGAGGACCGCAGGGTAGCAATGTCCCCACACTGGACTCTTCCCAGCTGGGGCTGACCAGCGTGAACATCTTGAATGCGGCCCTTAGAATAGGGATTCTGAGCGTATATCCAGAGGCATTTCCAAAGCTGGAATAAGGATACGGCTCTCCTTGGGCATGACCCCAAAATAAACAAAACAAAACCTCTTTGAATCACATCTTTGAGTCTGAGTCACTCACCAGTCTTTCTGTGTCTGGTGAAGGCAGATTTAAGCATTAAGGACTAAGCCAGGCATCCCGATTTTCAGCCTCTTTTCTCAGCAATCTTCTGTCTTAGCTACTCTCCTGGGGGCAGTTAAGAGTTTTTTAGGCATTGATTTTAAAGAAAGACCACTTTATACAAGCAGATTGAGGAGATTGGAGGTCTTGGAAGAGCCATTAGAAATTACTGTCAGCTCGCCCCTTAAAGCTGTCTTTGCCCCTGGGACACAAATGGCCCCCTAAATATGATTACCCTCACCTTTCCTTGTCCTCCTTCCATGGTAAAATTTTCTCTGACTTATCAACGGCTTTAGGGAAGTTAAGAAAAAAGAAAGTCTAACAGAAGTTCCGACCCTCCCCTGTCACTAACGCACTAATGATGCATCGTGATGAATTATGTTCTTAGAGACCTAGAAATGTCATCCTGGGCCACATTTCCTACCCCGCCCCATGCCCCTTACCCCTCTGACAGCATAAGACCCCATATGCTAACAATCCTTACTTAAATTTACTTGGCCCAAGCTACTGATTCAGTTTCCTGTTGATTTTGAAAGCCCTGTCTTATGACCCTTGAAATGTAAAACCTGAATTTCATGTCTGCAGAAAAAGCTAAACACAAGACTTGACACTCATACTGTGACATCTTTCCCAGCTGCAGCAGGAGCTTCTTTTTTAGCTTGTGTGCCCCACGTCCCCATTTTTGCTCCCCCTCACCACACAATCTGAGATCTGCAGGTTATCAGATGAAGAGCATAATTAACCTTCATTACTAATGGCACAACTCCTCTTCCACTACACAGTCGCTGACAGAGCCAGTGTGGATTTAACTGTATGAAATTCTATCAGCGTGCTCTTCTTCGTGCTGGGAGGATTCAGTGTTCTGTGGTTCGTGGCTTATCAAAATGTATTCCCGCTATTGAGCATTCTAGTCTCACATCCTTATATCAGAGTCAGAAGGAGCCAGAAAACTAACTGAATGAAATGGAGGAAGCCACGTTTGAAAGTGGGAGACCTTTAAAAGAGCAACAGAGCCTCGAAAAGGGATGGGGGTGAGCTAAGGAGGGAGGAGAAGGTGCAGCTTCCCAATGCTAGTGGCCCATGCTGCTTAAAGTGTGAGGAATCACATCCACGGATAATTGGGGGAAATTACCCTGAACAGAACTCTGGTTAACTGGAGCTTTGGCTTGTGGGGGAGATGGAGACACAGACAATGAAAACATCATCTGCTGCCATTCTCCGTGCAGCCTCCGCACACAGTAGCTTCTAGTATTTGTGTAATAAATGAAGCACCAGCCAAGCCAATCCGACGTTTTCAAACAAACTATAAAAGCCTGTGACACAGTCTCTTCTGTGGACACACAGTCCCCGACGGGACTCACGGGAAAACACAAGGCATCCCTCCCTCAGTCCTCCTTCCTGTGGCCTCGTAGAGGGAAGGCCAAGAGGAAACAAGGTCAAGGAACAGACAGGAGCCCCCCTTTGAGGCTGGTCTTTTACGTTGTCTGTCTGGGTCTTGCCCAACTTCTGCGCTCTCCACCTGTGGGCGCCGGGGAACTGGAGTTCGCGGTCCTGGGTGGGAACCGCCGAGTCTCCCAGGAGCAGCATCTCTGCACCGAAGCCGCGGCTGGAGCACGTTGCAGTGCGGTGATGAAACGCTCCTAGAACCCGCCGTTTGAGCGGGGCCCCTAACGCAAACAGGGTCCAAGGGGGTGCCTCTGGGATTCCTGGGGTGCTGCCACTCCCCCCACCCCATCACACAGCCCGCCACTCCAGGCCCGCGTCTCCGCTGGCGCGCCCCACTCGGGGGTGTCCCGGGGTCGCCCCGGCTCTGCGCGCCTGGGGCTCAGGCCGGGGGTGGGGGCGAGGCGGGAAGCGCAGGGGGCGGGGGGCGCTGGATCGCTGCCCTCCGCGCTGCAGCAGGAGGCGGCGGCAGCGAGCGGGCGGAGGGTGGAGCGGAGGCTGGAGCCCCGGCCGGGAGGGAGGAGCAGGGAGGAGGGGGCCGGGCGGCTGTGCGGCGAGCCGGAGGGGTGCTCGGTGTTCCCCGCCTCCTTCCGGGAGCGAGGATGCGGGCTCCGGGACTGGGGCTGCGGGGCTGAGGCCGAGGCGGGCAGCTGCGGCGCGCGCGGCTCCGCGAGTGTCTCCTGCGCGCCGCGCGGCGGGGGAGGCGCAGACCGAGGCGGCGGAGGAGGGGGAGATGCCCGGGGCCGCCGCCGCCGCCGCGATGCTGCCGGCCCAGGAGGCTGCCAAGCTGTACCACACCAACTATGTGCGGAACTCGCGGGCCATCGGCGTGCTGTGGGCCATCTTCACCATCTGCTTTGCCATCGTCAACGTGGTGTGCTTCATCCAGCCCTACTGGATCGGCGACGGCGTGGACACCCCGCAAGCCGGCTATTTCGGGCTCTTCCACTACTGCATCGGCAACGGCTTCTCCCGGGAGCTGACCTGCAGGGGCAGCTTCACGGACTTCTCCACGCTGCCTTCGGGCGCCTTCAAAGCCGCCTCCTTCTTCATCGGCCTCTCCATGATGCTCATCATCGCCTGCATCATTTGCTTTACCCTCTTCTTCTTCTGCAACACGGCCACTGTGTACAAGATTTGTGCCTGGATGCAGCTCACCTCCGGTGAGTACGCGCTCACCTCCGGGCGCCCGGGCCGAGAGGGGGCGTGGGAGGGACGGGGTGCGCGCCGCGGGCGCGAGGCAACTTAGTCCTCCCGGGCTGCTGCGGGCCGAGGGGTACCGGAGCCTCGGAAGCCGGAACCCCCGGGGTTCCCCAGCCCTGCGCTGGCGCCGCGTCTGAGGGTTTGGAGAACCTCAAGTGCGAAGGGACGCCACCCAGAGGGGCGCGCGGGGGGCAGAGCGGCTGTCGGGGGCTGAGTCGCTGGGAACTAAAGATGGGGTTCAGAGTCTGGGGCTTAGAGAGGTGGGGCGTGGGAAGCTGAGGGCTAAGCAGCGACACTGGCAACTGAAAAGCGAATTTGAAGAGGTCGTAGTGGGAGCAGAAAGCCTGTGCGCTCTGCCTTCTCTCTGGGACCATTTGTGTCATGGCTCTGGGGTGTGTGTGTGTGTGTGTGTGTGTGTGTGTGTGTGTGTGTGGCGGGGGAGTTGAAGTGAAACTGTTTCTGTCCTGGGCAGTTATAAATATTTTATCATCCATCTGGATGCGAGTGAATCCTAATTCTAGTTTGGATTTCACCCTTTTAAGAAAGACGTAGCATGGGGTGTTCCGGAGCAAGTCCCCAACGCCAAGCGTTCATTTCCCTCCTTATCAGGGGAGCAGTCCTTCCACTTCGCCTTCCAGCAGGCAGAGGTCTCGAGGGAGTCAGCATTTCTCTTCCTCTCCTTTGGGAGAAAGCAGCGTCAGGGAAGAGGGCAAAGAAAAGACCTGGTCCTTAGCGTCTCTGATCACGCTCCCTGTAGATGCTGGATTGTAGCCGGCTGGAGACTAGGAAAGGACTTTTTTCCCTGATCATCGAAGTTGCTTTTTAACCCAGAAGGGACAGGGAGTGCATTTCCTGGTGGCTGTTGAAGACTCCTGATGTGCCATTCTCTCCGCCAGCCACCTTGCATGCCCTTCTTTCCCAAGTCAAAAGATCCTGGATCCTGGATCCTTTAGAACACACCGTTGAGTTCCTTTTGATTTTATGGATGTTCTGGTTGTGCAGATACACTGAGTGTCCCAGGCAGCTAAACTTTCATTTGCCTTTTATTTCATGGCTCCTTCTATTTTATAAATCTTAAATTTTTTCTTGTTCATCTTGTTCCTGGAAAGGTTTTCTGGGGACTAGGGATTTAATGCCTGAGTTTACCAGTCTCAGGAAGATTAAATCCTTAAAGGTGCAGGACAACACTAAGGTTCAGAGTCTTGCACTGTTCGTGTGATATAAGAAAAGAGAAGCTCATGGGAGACTAAACTTGTGTGGAACTATTTATTTTGTATTACATGCGTCTTGGCTGTCTTTGACTTGCATTGACTGTGAAAGCGTGTGTGTAAAAAGCACACACTCGGCTGCTAGAGGACCAGCAGAGTGCCACTCCTCCTCATGCTTAGCCCCTGGATTTAAGTTCACCTTAGCCTTCTCCCACTCACCACCTCCCCTGACCTCCTGACAACCCTCTCACTGCGTTTCTATACATAATGTTAAGTTTTATAACGTCCTATGAGCAGAATAACTTTGGGATAAACTAATATATTGTGATTATTCTTGACACTGAGCTCTGGTTTGACTTTGAAGAGAATAGGACAAACAGGATGCCAATATTTTAGCAAAAGATTTGACCCTGCACAGCTAATTTTAATTTTTCTGAGTTAAATGACCTATTTAGACTGGTGTTTCAAATTAGATTGTTTTTCAAAGGTCTGAAAGTAATTTGCACCTGATTTCTTAACAATGCATTATGAAATACTTTATTTTGCGAGATGTTTACATTCTCAACCTACATTTTCAAGAAAAGAAAGAAAATCACTTTTGGAAAGAATTACCAGCTTTTGCATTAATGCAAACTACAACTGTAACAATGTTATTTTCTTTCCTTTTGCTGGAATAGAGCACACAAAAATCATTTGCTGCAGGCTTTTGAAATTTAATGTTGTGTTTTCAGACATTTGGTATGAATATACTATTCTATTCCATGATAAGCAAAGCATGGTGATTGTATGACAGAGAATATAGACATATTTACTTCCTTTGGGGTACTGTAGTTTTTTCAGTGGTGGACTTTTAAACCTCCATTTGTAATGAAGTATATTTTTAAAAGAAGAGTGTATTAGGATGATGGATGGGTCAAATAAAAATCACAGCCAGTTATATTCACAGATTTTTTTAAAGGAATGAGATATAGAAGATATTTTTGAAGAACACATTTAACTTTGTTGTCAGGATTTTAAGTACCACAATATTAACAAGAAATTTGACTAAAATTTTTTGAAAGTTTAACTTCTAACCCTTGGACTATTCCTCTTCTATATATATATATATATATATATATATATATATATATTGTAAGTACCTTCAATAATCTCAACTATAATTTTCTGAATATGAAAGATGAGATTTAATGTTACATTTTCTTGCTAGAGATGCAAACCCTCGTTAAAAGTCAAGTAATCAACTTGTATATTTAGTTATCCAGGCCTTTTATTATAATAATATAAATCAAAGCCAAATGAAATACATAATACAGTATGAAATTATACATTAAGGTGACAAAGTAAGAGATCTTGTGGCAGTACACTGAGAATTAATCTTGCTATGATTCAGAACAGTGAACCGGAAAAACGACTTACTTTATTGGACCTGGGAATAATATAACTCACCTGTGTAGAAGTGTGGTACACGCGGAATCGTAGACATCATTATGAACACCTTACTTTCTAAATCATTATCACCCTCAGGGAAGAGCAAGTAGGAAACAGCATTAGAAGCTAAAACAGAATGACTTTTTGATGTAACCCCGTATTTATGGACAATTCCTTATGTAAAGACTGAAGACATAAAATAATATACAGAATAAATAATGATAGTGATGCAAAACTTCCCCAAATCTGCAGACTTCTCCAGAAGAAAAGAGAAACTTTCTATTGTCTGTGTGATTTCTCTTATACTAAAAAGAAAAGAGTATATCTGTAATTAGTCAGGTAGGGTGATAAAGTTTAGCATTTCTTTTCCTTAAAGCAAAAACAGTATTTTGGTCTGTTTCTAAGTCTACAAATAGCTGGATCTCCTAAAGATGTTTTACTTATTTACTACCAATAAGCCTTGCAGTCCATTGTTTCCAGAACCCTGTGCTCATTATGTGCTAAGGAAATCTGTTTCGTATAAACTTAGATATAAAGTAGAATTTAAGTTTTTCTCTCCTGTGGGTTTCTTGGTGAGGAGTTACTTATTTCATTTGGACCCAGGTTGGCTTTTCTCCCTCAGGAGGGATAAGAGAACTGAATGATGTTCCTAGGTTCCACATGTCTCCTCAGTATGTCACAAAATGAAGGTCCACTGGGAAGACAAGGCTTCATGGCGGGCTCTAAGGGCTGAAGTGTTAGTCGACTCCCCCCAGCCTTCATCCTCAAATTCCTTCTAGCCGTCTTGCTTTCTTAGGTTGTATAACTTTGTGGATAGATGAGACGAGAGCCACCAACATCATCACTGTCCTTTCTTAGTCTCAGGGAGCGCCTTTGTGGTGTTGTGCTGTTCCTTCTCATGGCATCCTGGTATTTGCTTATAGATCTTGACAATGTTTGGCTGTTTGTGAGGTTATTGTCTGTCTTTTCCACTTCATTTAAGTCCTCTAAGAACTTATTTTAAAATATGGCATGGAGGTCACGCACGTGGATGATAGGCTTAAAAGATACGGGTCTGAAGCCTGGCTCTGACGTTCTATGACCTGTGAAATTAATCTATCTGTCCTATGGCAATAGGCATATATTTACACAGTTTCCAGGAGACTAATGTAAAGATTAAATGAGCTCGTGCCTATGCTTAGTGTCTTGCTTATAAGCAGCACTATAGTGGTGTTACGGTGACTGTCACAACTTACTGTTTTATCCTGGCACACAGTGGTTATTCAATGTCTGATGGAAGAGATATTCAAAATATTGTTGAGTTAATGAATAGAAAAAGTAATGACTCGTGGTGTGGACAATGAGAGGAAGGAGTGAGCTGAGAGTTCCTGTGTGCTTCCGTGGGAGAGGAAAGCTGTGTGCTCTTATTTTTCTCAGTGGCATCATCAGGACCACAGTGAAAAAGCTCTTCTTTATTCTTGGATGGTAATAGCTGTGATTTGACAGCCTAACTTGTGATAATGTTTTTCCCAAAGGGAGGCTTTTATGATGTATATGTAATGATCTTTACTATAACATGGGGAGATAAGCAGTCATATCTCAGGCTTCAGGAAATTCTCCCTTACTATTTAGTTTCTTATGAGAAAAAGAAAATCCACATCGTTTAAAATGGTGGTTTATGTAAGGATCCAGATATCAGGCTTTCTCTCGTGAAGAGAGGTGGCCCCGGGAAGGTAGGGGTTTTGGGTTTTCCCATTTCTTACATCTGTGCAGACAGACTTCTTGGATTCTGGGGAGCCTGCCTCACCTGAGTTGGGTGGGTTAGGCAGGTCTCTGAAGAGGGTGCTCTGAAGAGGGGTGACCTTGAGATTTACCCAGGTGCAGATTTGGTGTCCAGGACAATCACCACCGCGCCTTACCCCTTAGTTCGTGCTGAAGAGGAGGAGTGCTTGCCTCAAAGAGGGTGATTACATCCTAAATTCAGCTGTGGAGTATCCCAAAGACCACTTTCCCCCTAACAGAACATGGGAAGCCTTCTGTCAGGTACAGAGGGAAGATTGCGTACGGCTAGAAAAAGAAGTTTTTATTTTCCAACAACATATTCTACTTATTAGGTTGCACATAGTAATATATACAATTTTATCTGTCAATTTGAAAATTAATGTATTCTCAAAAAGAACTTGCTGTTTACCAAAACAAACTGTCAAGGAAGTGATCCGAAATAATTTTAGAAACTGTTTCTTTTTCTTACATGTAGCATGACAAGGAATGTGACAATTGAGGCAATGTTAGAAAATACATTAATGTGAATGTCAAAACAATTTTTGTAACAGCTAGATTTTAAA